CAGTTAGCTGGCATGCTGACAGACGCTCTGTTCCTTGTCTCATTCCGTGTCTACTAAAATGTGCCTTCAACAGACAGCGACATGCTGGTTATAGAGAAACAAGCGAGTCTTGTTCAATCTTCTTTAACATGAGAAACAAAACATTTTGACACATTTAAACTAAATGAGGAAAAATGTTTGTCTGTAGATTTTTTGGGGGGTGCATTCCAAGCACAGATGTTAATGAATAATTTTTTTGGGGGGGGGGGAATAATATATATAATCACCCTCTCTTACATGTTGGATCTACTTCTAGCGTACTTCTAGGGGCACAAATACAAAATTAATATTAAATCTACAAATCTCAATAACTGCGTGCCTGTGTGCCTCCGTAACATCAAAAATACAATAGAATTCTTAGAAATGCTCCTTTTCCTGCCGTCCTGCATTGCTGCACATAATAAGCAAAACCAAACAATTGCTTCCAAAGACAGTATGGACGCACATGTCTGGGAGATTAAAATGTTTCTGCCAATCCCCTGATCCCCCATCACCTCGTCCCAGAGTATTACACCAGCTTCAGCAGTAGTCAGACCGGGTAACCCACTTATATAAGAGCTGAGATTGGTTTTCACAGGTTAAGACGACAAATACAATGCTGCAAAAAAAAAAAGGAACTTAAGTACATATTTCACTTTACTGATCGACCAATAGAGTGAGGCCTTTAGAAGCAAGACATCTGTCCAGAAAGTTGCATTAAAAGTTTTTGCTTGTAATTTGACATGTACAGATGAGTCTGGATTAGACCGCAGCATGTGATCTATCAATATATATTTAACAAAATTAGCATACATTGTGCTTGTATGTTCTCTATAAATATGATATGGGATCTTTAAGGCCTGTGTGTCTACGCCAGCGCTTATTATTTACTAACTAAGTAGCCACAATGTTTTAAACTTTGGACACAAATTGTAGAAAAAAAATGTAATATAGTTTCAAATATAAAGTTTTCCTATAGTATGTAACATTTCCACAAACAAAGCTGTAAACATGCCAAGGGTCCTTTCATATAGGAGCAGTTATTATAATAATTTGAATATATTTTACTATATTACTTCTGGGACATGATCATAGAATTGATGATCTCAGCAGTGATAGGTTATAACCAGTGGTTGTAAAGGACTTTAAGAAGTGTGTATGGAGGATTAAGTGAGCGTGACCATGGAGGTGTAAGTGCCTGACTCACTGGGAATGGCTACACATTGAACTCACATCTAACGGATCGCCCTTACTCATTTCAAAGAATTTCAATGAACCCATTTACAAGTTCATACGGGGGAACAGACTTATATTTTTTGCCTTAGGAGCAAAATATTATCAAATTAACATTATGTAAATACGTGTAATAAAATGCTGAGCTGATCTCACCGAATTATTTATATTTTTTGGTTTTTATTTTCATTTTTTTCACATTGATTATGTTTTAACCAGATTTTGGATTATATCAAAATGCGCTTTTTTATCCACTGATTTAAGGTTCAAGCAAACAGTAACATGGTTTACTATTGGACAAACATGGAAAGTACTTAGACGTCAGTAAAGAAGTGATATCTTACCGCCAATGTCCTAAACCTCTTGACTTTTACAATAAGATCACAAATAATGTATAAATGGCATATAAAGGTATGAGACCCAGTTCTAGTAGAAAGTTGTATTTAACGTACATTGTGTCCTTACAATTTATTCATTCTAACATGTTCCCCTATTTAGTCTCTGTTACCAAGCTTATATAGGCTTATCATACTGCTTCTTCATATCAACCCTTCTTTCCTCTTAAACATATAGCTCTTCATTATTACAGAGATTCTTTACTGGTGATAAAATGTGTCCAGATAAACTATCTTATAAATAGCAGTGATCTGCTCTGTGCACCATAACCTTTACAATGATAGAGTGTCATTCCATCAATCCATTATTTCAGAGTACATAAAGTATTATTCCATCTTTAAACTCAGTTTTACCATCTGTACAATTTTAACAGATACTCCACTATAGAGATGTCGCGAACTGTCCGCCGAACTGTTCGCGAACTGTCCGCCGGCGAACAATAGCGTGTTCGCGTTGGGCGAACATATCCGATTTCTGGTCCGCCCCCTATACGTCATAATTGAGTCAACTTTGACCCGGAACCTCACAGTCAGCAGACACTTCCTGGGAGGGAGGGTCTGCTGCTGATTGGGTGGAATGTGTCTGCTGGCTGTGAGGTTCCGGGTCAAAGTTTACTCAATGATGACGTATAGGGGGCGGACCGGAAATCAGATATGTTCGCCCAACGCGAACACGCTATTGTTCGCCGGCGGACAGTTCGCGAACAGTTCAGCGGACAGTTCGCGACATCTCTACTCCACTATATCTCTGATTTTTCCTTGAGTACATATTTGCCAACTTTGAAGAAGAGACAGAGGGATTGGGCACGGTGGGACCACCGGCACAGATTACATTGCTGACACGTCTTCACATGGCTACACTCATGCCATCCACTGCACCAGCTATATCGTGAGTTTATTATGCAGATATCAGTCCAGCTTATTTGAGATAATGGGATAGGTCTTGGGGTTTTGCCAAGTGCGGAGTTTAAAAAGAAGGATTGTCCTCGTAAAAACAGAAAAGTTGATGACTATGACAGTATCTCGCTTACACATATACGTATCCCTTACATTTTTCTACCACTTGTGGTTTTAGATCTCATTTCCTGGATTTTAAGCAATAACCTCTTGTTCTCTGTTAGCATTGGTAGTGCTTATCTCTTATTTGCTGTTATATCCCCAGACCAATATTGTAAAGAACTATGGAATATGGTGGTACTATCTAATATATGTTGGTGGTATATAGATGCCAGTAAGAACAAGACTTGGAGATCTGTTTTCAGCTGAACTGCAGTTTGGTGGAATTCCTATTTGAAATATACCCGAATGACAGACTAACTTATCTGCACAATTCTGAACATGTTGAGGGAGGATCAATATTTGAAAATACACCCGTGGCACCAAAAAAAGAGATGATTGATAGAAAAAAAAGATGATTGATGGCTTGGGGACATTCACTACATATTGATTTAATTCATAAATCAAGTAAGGAGTGACCAATTGAGGAAGAAACAGGAGTAGTACACAAAAAAAGTATTTACATGTTATTTATTTAATAAATATATAATATATAAATATAGATTTATTCACTGCTCCTCTTGTATTTCCCTGTAAAACAAATAGTAGACAAATGCTCCTATCAGTATATTAGAAATAGATACGGAATATTATGTTATGTATTTATTTGGCAGCACACGGATTGGAGCATTTCCTGCCATTTTTATACTTTTTTTTTAGTTTATTCTCTTCATTCAGTTCCCGAATCGAAATTCATCCCAAATCAACATCCAACTGAATTTCAGGTGTCCTGAAAAATGTTTTGTCTCCAGAAAAAAATGATTGGGCAGAACCGAAATTTACCAAAGACTAGTAATAAGAATAATAAAAAATAATGCTCACGAAAAGAATTACTTAAAAGTCCTGGTACAGAACACAATGGCATAATGGTAAATCAATTTGGAACTTTCCCTGGTATGCTAATTATGTACTGGAATAAAGTAAACAGCAACTAAGAAATCAATGGGGTCTCCTTTTTTTAGTACATCTGGTGGCACTTGGTTGGGTCAGATTGACTTCACTTTTGTCTTAATTTGCAGACACCCTGGGGAGGTCATTTATCAAAGTCTGTTGATTATATAAACAGCATTAAACAGATGCCAAAATACAGTAAACGAAACAGCAACACTATCACTATCCATGTGTAACTGCTGGCCTGTGCCATACACAGGGTATAGATACCAGGAGTTTAACTACTTAATGACTAAACGTTGTCAAATGATTCTTTAACCTAATATGTGCTATAGGAGGAAATGAAACTGCTAACATTAATTTAGCTACTTTCGAGGGTGGCATTATGCCAGGAGCTGGACAGCTGGGGACAGAGGATTCAGAGACACTGCATTAATATGGCAGAGTGCAACTCTCAGCAATCTGGGGCAGACCAGCACACGTATCGTATTAGCGACATCAGTCAAACCATGTATTGCAGAGAATAATGCTGAAATGCCACGCACCATTCAGTACAAGATTTACAAACACGAGCTGCCAATTGACATAACAGGGAGATCGTGTGATATAAACACATGTAAATGCACCTCTGTCTTGTGCTGCTGAAATAATTATTACAGAGTAATTTGTGTAGCTCGTTTGAACGGTAATTCCTACCACTCTCAGTCAACCGACGAAACAGCGTTTGTTTAGACTTAAGCTAAGCCCTAACATTTGGAGAACTAAATTCTCATAGTCAACATATGTCAGTGACTTTCCATACTGTGAGTGCATTTATTGCTGGGGGAGATCAGACGTGGGTTTCCTACCCATAAAAATGGGATTAGGCAGAATATGTGAAGCTGCTTAACACCTCATGGAGGGATCTGGCAGATGACAAAAGAAAAACTTGCATGTGTAAAAGTGCATAATAATACAGACTTTTGTAGAGTTAAATTCCAGCGTGGATCAGCTGTGGTCTCCATCAGAAAAATCAAATTACACATCAAAAACTTTGTGGTGAGATAAATTAACTGTACATTGTTTAATTGCATTAAGCCACATGGGTCAGTAGGGCATTTCAATAAAACAGAAGAAAACAGTACCAAATCATATATAGATCTTTGTAGACCAGTAATGTCTAACTTTAGCAATCCAGTAGTTTGGGGACTATGTTTTCCTTACTTGGTCAACTTCCTTACTTCGTTACTTGGTCAACCGGTACACTGGCAAAGCATTATGGGAAATGTTCACAAACTACATCACCGAGTTAGCCAACACTGAGTTAATTAAGGACTGAAGCAATAAGGATGTTAGTTTTTATCCTTAGAAATATATAAAACAGAACTGCTAGGGGGCCGGAGCCTGACCTGATAACTGAACGGTCGCATGTTCACGGGGCTCCTGCTATTTTCAGTACATTCCCCAATGCAAATCGCAACTACAAAGCTTGCCACACACCAAATTGCCCTACCCAAATCAGGGACAGAGCTGGTGTGCCCCCTGATACATGTGATTCCAACATCGGGAGCCTGAGATAGCCTGCCACCGATGGCTGAGATGGGGGAGACAGCCGTTCTCCTCGTCCTGACACTGGCGGTGCGGACACATCGACACCCTACCTCTACTCCCCCAGGGACCAGCAGGGGTGATCCCGGTCCACTCCCGGGAGGCAACTCTGCTCCATAAGACACACGAGCAGGTTCTGAAGGAGCACTACCCAGCAAAGGAGAAGAGGAAAATGGCAGACGACACGTGCTACCACACAAGCTGGGACCTAGAAGCCAGACTGGACAGCATGATCGCAGCCTTCTGGAGAAAGCTGGAGCGTAGGACACAACAGGCACCGATACTAAACAAGAGCAAACAATTACCCTGCAAGCTGCCTCAACGCTCCAAAGGCAAACCCACGGCGTCCACGGCGCACAAGGCCTGAAAATGGCGGACCACGCGACCTTGCACAAGATGCCCATCAGATCACTGCCAGGCATCACAGCACGAGAAAGGCGGTAAACAAAGCCACAACAATCCTGCCACAAACCTACTGGACCGTCCCAAAGAGCCTGCCCCACGACTTAAGCCGGATTCTGAAACAACGCAGGAGATGCTTCTGCACTTACACAACTCGGCCTCCTATGCGCATCATGTATGCGGGCCCCTACCTGGAAGGGCAACAAGGCTCAATGGAGAGACTTTCCGGGCAGGGAAGCGGAATGCCTCAGTATGGCATTGGATGACCTCAGGACTGAGCACAGGTACCACGGTACCTTGGCAGTACACCCCCAGTTCCCACACCTTGTGCCCAGACTTACCCTAGTTTAATTCCATACGTTAGCATGCTTCCTACCTTATGTTACAACAGCGGGACTCAAAACCTTTAAACCTGATTTTTCAGGGGGGCCTCCGGGGAGAAATTTTGCTCAATCTCAGTGACTATAGTTACCAAGCTTATGTCGCCATAGACAAGCGTTTTTCTCGCACTCTTCTCATGCTTAAACCTATCCTGCGTACTACCATATTAAAATGTGCATTGTGTTTTCTCTTGCCATGCCTTGATTAGTCGGTGTATGATGTCTTAGCGTATGTATGTGCTATTGGGGCATTGCAAACGCAAATGTAAATGTCTATTTCTTTATGCACGCAAAAATAAAGAATATAAAAACATTTTTTTTTTTAAAAACAGAACTGCTAGTACTTGGCGTATACTGACCTTGAACACATTTTTGGAAGCCATCTCAATATATGACGTAGTTGGGAGTGCGTCATCAAAGTAGGAAATGTCATCTGGAAGCTTGTCTCTTAACAAAGTAAAGAAGACCAAAACACCACTTAAATGATTGTGGGGGGAAAAAATTGTAAAGAACTAGATTTATACCAGCATACAAAACCAGTGTTATGGGCTAAAAGGCCCCGTCCATCACATAATGACACCCATATAAATTCGCCACAAAGACCAATACTAATTTAAGTGCCAATGATGATAACGTATTGCAATATATCTGTTATCAACCATTCATAGCCAATCAAATAACCAGAATACCTAATCAGGGTGTCCTAAAACATTTTGGCAGTGGTTAATCACTCTATGAATGGAATGAGGTCAACTGCTATGTTTTACAATGGCTTTATAAATAAAGTTAATGTCGTGTTAAAGGGGCACAGCATTATGATCCAGCAAACAAGTGATAAACATACAAGTGTATATAGCGGAGCTGACGCTAAGGGCATGGCAGACTGTGGATGGTAGTAAAAAGCACCAGCAGCCATATGGAAGAAGATGTCACTAGGAAAACTGTACATTTTAGATTGCCTATGACTAAGCACCTGTTCTATGGTCCAGCAAACAAGTGATAAACATAAAAGCCTATGCCTATGACTAAGCACCTGCAGGTTTGAAAGTTGTTAAAGAGTTTTTGACCCCTGCCTCTCTAACCACAACACTATATGTCACAATCTGCTTAAAATGTCCTAATAAATGCCTGATACATGTAAAAAAGCATGTATCTGCAAGACTGCAACAATACATATCAAATTTACACTGCTTATACAGTGATATTTTAAATGTATCTTTTTTTTTAGATTGAGTGTAAATGTGTACTTAACTTGTAATTCTTAACTTTCAAAGCACCTAGCCACACGCTGTAGCTGGTCATACACTGGCCGCATTGATATTTTCTATTCCAGGTCTAATACAAGTTTCATTCTCAGCTTTTCTCTAATTGTACATTAGTCCTTCAGACTATTTGTCCTTTACTGTAACTTATTTTGACCTAGTGGGAGGATTGTGAGATAGCATGTCACTGCTGACAATTTAAATACTAACACATTTTTAACAACCGATTGCCAAATAAGTAAAAAAAAAAAATATATATTGTTTTTTTCTGTTCACAGACATCATTTGCATTGTTGTTGAACCTGAAAAACAAGCATTGCACAAAATACTTTATTTAAGACTGAAAAACGCAAGACATTAAAACTTAAAAAAAAAATCAAACAGAAAAATAAAATAAACTATTGCCTTTAAATTGCACATCGATGATTCTACATACTTATTGAAATTTTGGTGGTTTCTTTGTTTCAGATGTAGTGGTTATGGTTCTAATCAGCTGCAGAAACCATCCCATACCTCCCAACATTTCAAATGGCCAAAGAGAGACATTTCCATTACACAGACTGATTTCCAAACACGTTTACTGTAGTTTCATGACACATTACTATAGTATTATTGCTGTGGACCTCTGTTATACACTCAGACACACCAACAATATGGAGGTCATAGAAAAAAGGAACATTAGAATAGAGATAAGGAACAGAAGGATTTGAGCCCATATGTCCCTTCTAAATATGGATCCTTAGAGGGTATACCTTGCCCTGTTTCTAGGTCAAGCCATTTAGAAGCAGTGTGACCAAATCCAGGGGTCCCTGAGGACGAAAAAGATATTGCTAATGCAGAAGAGTAACTTTCAGATTAGCAATTCCTGGGAACAGGAACTGAGCCATGGGTGCCCAAGAGACCCACTGTTTTGATCAAAGTATTTGAAAACTGTTTGACCAAAGACCTGGGAACTGTGCCCAGAGCCTAATAAATCCATAAGCACTAAATCGGCATGTACTGGTTACGTTGCTTATATTGTCCCTCTAAGGACCATTGATGTCATAAAATCATGGTCCTTAGACACCCTGATTTAACATGAAGTGGTATTATTTTAAAAGCAGCAAAGTTCTATAATGGATAATGTTGGGTAAGCCATAATTACATAGATACTGAAGAGAGATCTGATTGCTATTGGTCCTTAATGGGCTAAGTCAGTGCATACAATTTGTTGACTAATCCTACAACAAAATCTGCTTGTTAAATGGGTTAATACAATTACTATTTCATGAATCTGTCTCTAGACTATTCTTTTGCAATGCATCCTATTGTACCGCAAGGGCACTGCTGAGAGATGGATAATGTAACCAATAGTTTAGCTAGTGTTTCCCAATGAAAAGAAATGGCATCTTGCCTCTAACTACGGTCCTGGTTAAATGGAATATTTACTCCCATACAGAGTTGGTAACAATGTTCTGAATAGCTCCTGATGCACAAGGAGAGAATCACACAGCAACTTCATTCTTTTAAGTTTGGAACGGCTTTAGATTGTCTGGAATCCCTTTAAATCTTAATTATAAATGCCTTATTTAATCTCGGTTTGTGGCCATTGAGATGCAGTTCATGAAAAGGGGTTTAAGACTAAATACAGCTGGTCTGAATGCTACAAGCAAGAGAGTGATAAAGAAATGAAACAATTGCCAATAAGTCCAATTTCTATTGAACCTGTGTTTGGGGTATCGTGTCTTCATCACTATTGTTGTCCGTCAGTGAATAAAAGAAATTCCTTGGCTATTGTTCTGCTTCATAATTCCGATACATTTAATCTGTTGAGTATAGAGTTTGAGGGTGTAACGGATTGATGGGCACCCCGACTGGGTACCTCCGTTGAAGGATGCTCCTAGCGCTTCCTGAGGGCTCCAAGCACTCCAGTCGACACCATAACCACTGTGGACTCCTTCAGAGAGCAGGACAGGAACAAGCTCTTACAAGAGCTTAATAGTGATTTAGCAATGGAGTATGACAAGCATAGCAATCCCTTGTAGCAGATTCCCCCAATAAGAGACGGCACTCTAAATTGATGGTGAAGTAGAACTGCCTGTACTGGCATATACAGCCTCTTTTATTCACATTCTACAAACATAGTACTGCCCACAGGGTTTTGAAGAACAACCAATCAACACATTACAACACAGCTAACACTCCCATTCATTACATCAGAAATCTTCCCCTCTGCCTGTGATACAATTATCTCAACACAATAGACTAACTTAATTATCACAGGCAGGAAAATACAGTATTATAAAACATATCACAGGGACCCCAAAACATGCAAAAAAAAACATAAAAATATATCCTTGGATCTGGGGGATCTGGGTGAACCACATATCCAAAATTCACCCAGATCCATTCAGTAGTTTGGAAAACTGTATATGTTCTGCGGAATCTGCATTAAACCGTATCTTCCAAACTACTGAACGGATCTGGGTGAATTTTGGATATGTGGTTCACCCAGATCCCCCAGGTCCGAGGATATATTTTTATGGGGTTTTTTTTGCATGTTTTGGGGTCCCTGTGATATGTTTTATAATACTGTATTTTCCTGCCTAGTTTGGAAGATACGGTTTAATGTAGATTCCGCAGAACATATACAGGCTATATGAAAAATAATTACTGTTAAATGTGTCCCCTGTTCTGTAGTTTAAAACTACTGAACGATGTCTTTGTGCACCAAATACCAGTGAGATGGCACCGTGTAGAAAGTCAAAACAGTGTCTGTGAGTTAAAATGGGCGACATCCATTGTTCTCACCATATGCGCCCTCCGTTGTTCTCACCATGTGCCTCTGATACATGAAATGGTGGCCACCCAGTAACTCCAGTTTGTCTGGTAGTCTTTCCAGCCGAACCAACAGATGAAACACATGGGGAACAGTGCAACACATGAAGGAAATCATAAATAGTCATATTTGTGCTCAATCTCCAGTTTTGTCACATGGCACAAATAGTGTTTTCAAATGCCATATATCCCAGGGCCATAGTCAGAAGGTAGGAGGCGGGCAAGCAGCCCCCCCCAAGAACACTTGGCGAGGTCTGTTCCGCCACAGAGGGCCATGAAGATGTTCGTGTCTACATTAGGATCTTCAAGCCTAATTCAAAGTGAAGCACTTGCTTTTTCAAAATTGAAAACTATATATTGTTTGGTGTCCCCTAAATAATGATATTTTTAATAGACGCT